TCAGACGACAGACGACAGACGACAGACGACAGACGACAGACGACAGACGACAGACGACAGACGACAGACGACAGACGACAGACGACAGACGACAGACGACAGACGACAGACGACAGACGACAGACGACAGACGACAGATGACGCAAAAGGACAACTCACATGGGCCAGTAGGCGTGAATGCTCCGGTCCCCAACATCTTTCCTTGCCTGCGCGGCCAACACGTTGACTTCGTCCGCCTTCCAGCCCAGCCCGCGCGTGAGGGCTGCCATGAGGAACCCTTGCAGACCGGTCGTGATGTTCTCGTAATTCCACGCGCCGAGCTCCTTGAACTTTGCGTTTCGCGGCCATGTGTTGCTGGGCCACTTGAATCGCAGCTCCGCCACGTCAACGAAGCCGGCGGCCTCTAGCATGGGCTTGAGCGCGTCGAGGTCGACAAAGGCGTGGTCCGTCTTGGCTGCTGCCTCACCAAGGTGCTTCATGGACTGATAGAGAGCGTGCTCCTCTTTCAGGGTGTTGTCGTCAGAGAGGGGTAGGCCGAATTCCTGGAGCTCGAGCCAGCCGCCGGGGGTGAGATTTCTGACATGATGCATCAATGCCTGGCTAGCAAAAGGAGATGTCATATCTGTGATTACTCATAAGACTGCCGGATGTACTCCTCCCACTTGGAGATGCTAGAGTTCATCATCCGGCTGTGGATGTAATCGAAGGGACGTGAGTAAGTCCAGGTGTCCTCGATGTCGTCGACTTCGAACTTGACGTTGGGTGGTACACTGTACGCTCTGTCAGTATCATGCCTGTGATGAAAGCGGTTGACAATACTGACAATTGCGGTTGGGCGGGTGACAGATCGACGCCGGTGACCTGCGATATCAGCGTAAGAAAGCTATAGGCCATACTGATGTGTCGACACTAACCTCGGCCCCAGGATGCTCGTCTCCAAAGTCCATGGCCCAGATGCCTGTTCCTGTTCCTAGGTCTAGTACGCGGCCAATGTTGGATTCGGGCTCATTAGGCGGTGACAACCCGAGTTTGCCATCGAAAGAGAGGTCAAATATGTGGTGTTGAAGGTCTTTAGGCGTTCGCTTAGCATCAGTCTTGGGAATTAAAGGGATGTTTAGTGAAGCTAACCCAATCTCTCGTTTTCCTCTTCATCGTTCGGAAAGTGGTACTCTCTCAGAGTGTCAGTTAATGATCCATAAGTATGCTGGCTCGGCACCACTCACTTCCATCGCGAAACTTGTGATAGGTGCGTCCATTCTCTTTGCGATAGTCGAGAATTGAGCTGTTCAAGCTTGCGGTTGAGGATGTCCCGTCCTATAGAAACCATCAGCCGCGAAATCACATTGATGGGGATGACAAGGCGTCGAACGTTGCTGACATCTCCTAGCGACGAGTCATTATCATTGAAGTCGTCCGGTTCAACCACGACGTCTTGTGCTGGCGCAGCCATATCGAAGATGCTTCAACTCTTTGGCTTGGATACTTTGCACGATAAACGGCCCCAATGGTGAAGTCGAAGTAGTTCAATACTCGACACAAGGATGGAAGGGCCCGGGCAATACCGCAAGCCAGCAAGCGGGGTTACAACTGGAATGTTGGGATACCTGATGTCACTAGGTACTCAGGCACCCTGAGGGAGGGGGATTCGACTGCTTCCAGCCGGCGACATGTCTTAGCTGAAATACCTAGGCCGAGGAATCCAAAGATGGGATAGGGCGAGACTAGGGCGACGCAGCTTAGAGGTGCATCTTGAGAGGTGTCAAATGCAGGTTAGCCGTTGGGACGATTCCAGGAGCCAGATCAACACCACGGATGCGCCGGTAGACCCTGGACGAGATGCTGCGAATGGCACAATCTCATAGGTCGTCTTGGGTTCTCAAGGGAATTGATGTAACTGAAGTCCGTGTCGTGGCCCAATCAGACGCACCGGGGGGAAGTAGGGAAGGATGCAAGCCAACAGCCACTTTGCGTGGCTATGCAGTCGCTGCTGAATTTTGTGCATTAAAGTTGCCGGAGCATTCACCGCCCGAGAGAATTCTCTGAGGTTACAGGAGCCAGAAAGGCAGTGATGAGTGTCAGTCGAAGTTGGGCCAGTTCGCGTTGACAAGTTGATGCTCGGGTCATGGTACTTTAGCGGTGTTCTGGGATAGCTGGTCAACCTTTCCTCAGAGCTTTTATCGAGAAAAATTCCGATCGCTTGCATCCAAGAACTCATAAGTTCGTACCTTCCATTGTGATACTACTTCCTGCAAGTACCGGTGGATCGGTCCGATGTTGGATTGCAAGACCCAATACTACACGTTCGTGGAAGACTCTCGCGATCCGGTTCCGTACCGTTTATCCGACAATCGGCTCTGCGGACACAAGAGAACTTGGCTGATTTTGGCTTGAATAAAGGCGTAATCGGCCTTTTCGCGCGGGAGTTCCCCTTTCACTGGCTTTGCAACCTTTGGGACGAAGATTGGTGATGAGATGAAGATGTGATTCCCAATGTCTCGCCCGAGGGAGGCACTGGGAGGGACACCTCGTCGCTGCCCTGGTGAGGAGGGAGGAGATAAGATAACGATAAGACGACACTTTGATTAGATAAGAGAGACAAAGTACCTTAAGCTGCGCCGGCAGGAGCTTTGAATCCCCCCAAGCTGCCAAAAGAGCACTGTACAGGAGAGCCCCTGTGCTGTAGGAAAGTCAATTCTTCCTCACAGGGCACCGCTTGGCTGATCCTCCCAACTTCGCGAAACTCTGCTGAACATTGGACATTCAACGACGTCTGTCTTCTTCTTGGCACTTTCGATCAACAATGCCACGGGAAAATCATCCGTCTCGAAAGATGAAATTCAACACTGATTTCGGCATAACAGTCAGCCCGTCGCGTTCCTATCACGTCACGACGTGAAGCAACGTTACTCGAGGTTGCCCCTTTCAAGGATCGCGCCTAGGCAGCATCACGGATTCCTAAACCTCCTTTTACGAGATGTGAACACCATACTACTACGAGGCTTAGACCAGGCATTACATATGGCCGTACTGGATAGTCGACGGAAAATTCATGCTGCGAGGCGGGCCAAACATCCATCCGCACCATGTCCTCAGACTGCTACTTCTCTCACATTCAACCCTAAGGAAAATGGGGCTGGATTTTGGGTCACCGTGGAGTCGAGCCCATCTTCGCGAATAATAGGAGACCCTTCGCTTCAAACGGCCCATCATCGGACAGACCACACCGAGCTGACAGCCTCTCCCGTTTCGCAATGCTGGTCTCAGCCAGACCAAAGAAAACAGACGAATGAGCTGCTATTACGGGCTTGGGCCACACTACACCTGTGAAGATGGGGAAACCTGGATCGTCGGAAGATCGTGGCAGGGGAGAGCTCACGCGCAATGCAGAATTTCTACAGCCACCATGTTTTTTGTCTTCTTTTTTCTGCACCGAGGCAAGTCGACGACTCTCTTTCTCCAGCTGGCGGTAGCCCTGGTTCAGGGGCTCGAGAGCGCGTTTAGGCCCGTTTGCCGTTCTCCGATGTTTCGTCCCATCCGAAACATTAGCACGACAGGGACGGCCTCGTCTGCGACCCAGTTCTCCAATCTCAGCCTCGACAACCTCACTGGTCCACGCCGCGCCATGGTCTCTGATCATCTGGTCTCATGGGGTTTCGACGGCATCAGGATCGCCGGGTGGCGGTCCCGAATCTTGACAGCACTCCTACGCAACGAAAAGAGAAAGATGTTGGTCATTCAGCTGCAATTTCTGGTTACTCACTTGCTCAGCCTCAGTTGCAGAAACGTGCCCCTGTGACAGACCTGCGTCGCATCTTTGACTGACCTGCTTGACAGAAAGGAGGCATCAGCAAGCGCGGAGAGCCCTGGCAGGCGTGCAGGAATGTTCGGATCGTTATTTCATCGTCAAAGATGGAGAGACGGGGAACATACTTAAGATGGCAGATGTCCGCGAGCTGGAAGTGAATCTAACTCAAAGCGTCAGCATCGATCAATTACATCTCATTCTTGTACTTCTTATACTCCAGTACTTTGACAGTACTTCGTTCTCTTCTCACTCTCATTACATTATGGTTCGCTTCTCTCTTGCCGCAGCATTCTGTAAGTTCCATCTCCCGCACTTCCCGACTCCCAGTCGCTGTCACTCTGGTATCCAGCTCCGACTAACATACCCCAGTCGCTGCTTCTGCCCTTGCAATCCCTAGCCCCTTGACACCGGACCCATCTGGTGATAAGAATGTCGGCAATGGCAACGGCGTCCAGTTCATCGGCGGCGCCTGCCTCAACAGCAAAGACTGCGCCTCAACCTGCTGCGCGACCCTGAACGGCGCCGGCATCTGCTCTGGACTTGGAGCCCAGTTCCAGGCAGGTAAATCAGGATGCGGCTTCGGTGATGGTGGTGCCGCTGCGGCGCCCGCCGCGTCCCAGGGAGCAGGTCAGGCCGCTCCCTCTATGGAAGCCGCCGCCGGAAGCGGAGGCGGCGCAGGATCAGGGACATCTTCGAATGTCGGCGCCGGTAACGGCCAACAGTTCATCACGGGACAATGCTTGTCTGATGCGGACTGCGCCTCGGGATGCTGTAACGGCCCCAAGGGCGCTTGTGCCGCCAGAGCCGTCGCAACGGAGAATGGCAAGGCGGGCTGCGGCTTTACGGGCACGGGAGCGGGTGCCGCTACTGGCTCTACTGGCTCTGCGACTGGCGGTGCGGCGGCTGAGGCTGCGGCTCCGCCTCAAGCAGCTCCGTCCGCAGGTGCAGGTGCAGGTTCTGCTGCTGGTGCTGGCACTTCTGGTGCTCCTGGCTCACAGAATGTTGGCAAAGGGAATGGGCAGCAATTCATCACGGGCCAGTGTCTCTCGAACGCAGACTGTGCTTCTGGGTGCTGTGCCGGACCCAAGGGAGTTTGTTCGGCCACGGCGGTTGCTAATGAGAGTGGGAAAACTGGATGCGGATTTACGGCGGCATGATTTCGTGATAAGCTTGGGAACTGGTATGGTTACAACGCATATAGACTGCCTTGGGGTGACCACTTTCTGTACAAAATTAGACAATACTATCAAAGCGTGTCACTATAGCTCTTATAGGTCAACTTTTATACGTGTTAGGGAAATGAGTCCGTGATCGTGAGCTACAGGCATAAGGCAAGCCATTGGCAATCTTAGACAATCACATCAGTCATTGCGTATCAGGTGAGTAGTATCTTTTACACGCCTGGGACGTCATGTTGAATATTGTAGTAGGATTTGATCTGACGAGGCTTCCATGACGCCTATGAAAATGCAATGCTAATGAAAATGCTGATGTAGACCACATATCAATCGGAATTAATCTTTCCTCCACGCCTTCTCACCAAGCCATCGAGTAAACTTGACAGCATTCACATCAACTATCCGATTAAACACATCGCTCGCCCAAAAAAGAGCCAGCGTGTTCACCAGCGAACCCCAGAAGAACGCAAGCTCATACGCGCCCCATGCCTTGTTCACCATCTCAGTACCGCCAGCGGCGTTCCCGCCCTCCGTGAGCACCTTGGCCTGGGCGCCGGCAAGCGACAACGCGGCGTGCGCCGGCGACAGCCACCTGACGCCGACCATGTGGTTGATGGCGCCGTGCCACAGATACAGCGAGTAGGAGATCTGTCCGAGGTACTGCGCGAAGCTCGTGGTGAAGGGGCGTTGGAGGAGAGGCTCGGCCTTTTCTGGTTCGGGTTCTGTGGAGGAGGAAGATGCAGCCGCTGCTGCGAGTTCTTCCTTTTCGTCATCGTCGAGATCCAGGTTGGTTTGGTGCCAGGGTAGACGGATATTGCGACCCCTGAGCAGCAGGGCCTCGAGGTTGAAGGTGACGGGTGGGGAGTACATCAAGGCGAAGATGAAGATGATGGCGCCTATGGAGTTCCAGTAGAGCTGGGTGCGGTCGCCCATTGCTTTGTAGTAGTCTGGCACCCATTGCGAG